CCATCAGCCTGTTCTAAAGTTCACACTGTCAGTTTGTGGTTCTGCTAAAGTGCTGAAGTGCTGAAGTGCACACTAACGTGATGTGTTTCTGAGTTTATCTAAAGTGTGGAAGCGATTGTTAAGATCACAAGAGTGCAGATGTGTGTTACTGTGACAGGGAGCTGCCAGTATTCTCACAGTGTTAGTGTTCTTCCATTATATACATATATACTATATATTTACTTTTAATATGTATCTATTGATTTGTTTTGATCAGCTTTACATTTTATTCGCATGTATTGATTTGCTGTGATTAGCTTTATTATTTAGGTAATCTTGTACAATGATCAGCACTATATGTTACGACGGGAATGTAGTGTGTGTTTGTCTCACTGATCCAGGTTTCCTGTCTCTCTCTCTGACCAAATGGCAGTTGGGGTCATAAATTACAGATCACACTGTGTCCAGGAGGTGATCAGCTGTGCTAAAGAACAGCATATGTTACCTTTGATGTTTGTCCAAAACTGTGTAGTTTCCACGTTCGAAAGGCTTAAATAAACACTTTAGGCAATTGGCCAAAAGCTCTCAAACAACATAAGGTCAGAAGCCCAAAACGGATAACCAGAGCCATCGGTCAGTCAAGCCAGCCAGCTAGAGGGAGAGTGGCTAGATTCCCCTCGGGGTCACCAGTAGCAGACTGTTTGACCTTTGTTACTGGAACAGAGAGAGACAGACAGATGCTGGAACCAGCCGTGTTTCAGGCTCTTTGCTTTGTTTTGAATTTATTTATATGAATTCTTTGAATAAATCTAGCAGAGACATCGCTGATTGTGTCATGGCTTCTTTTTCCCCAAATGCAATGAAAATTGTACACCTCAGTTAAACCCAGAGACACTGACATCTAGTGGCAGATGTGTGATTTCTAAATGACGCTGAAATTGGCGTTAGTTTGTGTGGATTGTGAAAGAAAGTGTTCATTATAAAAGCGCTGAAATGATGGCGCCACTCGTTGAAACTTCTGTGTCAATGTCAACCATCAATCTTGAATCAGTTTAAATGGGCAGTTTGAAAGAATCAGTTCAGTAAACTGAATAGAACAGTCTGCTCTACTACAGTCTTAAGGTTCCAAAAAGGGTTCTTCACAAGAAGCCACAGAAGACTGTAAATATAATTGTTGTAAATGAGATGTGAGAGTGTGAAGAAACTTTTTTACAGTTTAAAGAACCTCAACATAATGTAAAGATTATTGGAAGAACCCTTAAATTGGTAAAGAACCTGTACATTATGTGAAGGTTCTTCCAGGTTCTTCACATGTTCACATCTAATCTTCAAACCTAGTTCTTTAGGGAGTTGATGTCACTTAAAAGAACCCTCTGTGGCTCCTATTTTTAAGAGTAGGAAGTAGGAGTTTTTTGTGGAGAGCTGTGATCGTTCCATATCACCCCCCACCGCCCATAGCCACACCCCCTCAACTCTGGATTATTAAAATCTGAAAACTAATCAGTCCAAACACATTTAAGGGACAGTGAAGCTCATGTTTTGAACAGACTCAGTACAGTACACTGCAGCTGCAGATTTGACCTTGTTCATTGGTCAGTGCTGGACGTCTCTGATTAGCCGACTGCAGCGGGCTTTGAGATCTGTTTTCTCTCATTTGGAGAATGCACTCAAAAAGGTAAAAAGCTTTGGTTGACATTCATAAACCTTCCTGACAATTTCTGTCAAAATAGCCTACATTAACAGACTTTATTTAAATTAGATCCTGCCCAGACGAGTGAGGTGAGGAAAGGAGCCCACCCCTTACATTTTCAGGGGCCCAAAATTTGTACCAGATTAAAGCACTTTTGTGAAATAATTAATGAGTGTTTATATAATTCACAGACTGTTCTGTGGATTTAATGTGGTGCCAGTAGTTCTTACAGTTCTTCCACACTAAGTGATCATTCCTACACATGCCATGACGGGGAGGCAGAGCAACAAGCTCCTCTCTTTCCCTCTCAGCTTTGTTAACCCAATATTCCATGATGTTGCTTTTCCCCCACTTTACAGTAACATTATACAGCTTTACTGTAAGTTTTACAGTAAAGCTGATGAATCAATCAATACTATGTTTTTGAGAATCAGTATTACAGAATATAATATTGTGATACTCAAGGATGAGGATCATTTCAGTCTATTTAAAATAAACCTTTTTGATTCAAGTTTGAGTATTTAACATGGTCCTGTAGTAATTTGTATGATGTCTGGGTGATGCATATTCTGGGATTTACATTTTTCACTTTAAGACTAAAATGTGTTGATGTTACAGCAAGAGCTGAAATTTGTCACACCTGAACAGCAGGTGGTGCCAGAGCATCAGTACTGTGGGGAGAAACGTGTAGACCTTATTTAATTATTTATATACATTTTTTATTTTACACTGATAATAGTAATAATAATTGTAAATAATGTAACCAAGTGTCATTCTTCTTCTTCTTATTATTATTATTACTATTATTATTACTATTATTTTGTTACAATCAAAATGAAGCACAAATCAAAGTAAATTCACACAAAATAAATACATAAATAAAAAATACATAAAATTTATGAATTTATATACTGTGACTGGCTGTCTCTATTGATAAATTGTTTTAGGTGCACTAAGCAACAACAAACCTTGTATTTTGTTTAAATTAACATTAGAAATTAAAAATTATTATAACAATAATTATTATTATTATTATACACTGACGGTCCATGCTTTACATCATTGAGGAGCTTCTACTTTAGACATTACAGTGTAATATATATAAAGTGAAGGTCCAGCCTGAGGATCAAATTACTGATGTATAAATAACTCTTCTTATCTTGGGTTAGTTTATAGTTGCTATTTGCTTGATCTCTGTAATCTATCTGAATACATCTGAAAACACTGATATAGAAATTTAGAAATACAAAAGGAAATATTTAGATTTTTATCATCTTACATTTTCATTATTTTATAATTCTTTATATTTCAGGCTGGTGTACTCTCAGCACTCTGCCACTGGACACCAAGTGGAAAAGTCATAGTTAACAATTTGATGAAAGGGGAATGTTTTGATTTGCCCTTTTGAAAGATGATTAAACTACCTGAAAAATTAAATGTACAAATTAAATAAAAACTATAATATATTTCTAGTCCATTTGGTCTAAAGGGAAGAACACATTCACCATATTCAAATAAAGAATGACGCAATTTGAAACAAAATTAACTGTTATAAACAAACCTCACTTTGTGATGTTTTTAGAGATGCATCATGAACTCCCACAAGGGGGAGCCACACATTAGTGTGCATGCTCTGCACATCTTTCAGTTTTCTACCCTAGCACACCTTAATCCAGCACGTGAAGACTAATTAATTGGTTAATAAGCTGGGTGAGGGTAAAAAACAAACATTAGAAGAGGATGTGGTCCGCAAATATATAAACCCCTGAATTAAAGGCATTTTCAGGGGTTGTGCATCGTTCTGTAGGCAGACTCATGCCCACATGAGATGCTCCCATGTCTAAGCTGGTTTTCTCTATTAGGAAAATGAACAGTGTTTTATAAAATGTTGTGTACCTTATTGATCCTACAAGAGAAATTGTCAGTTTTCTGCCCTAAGTATGTCCAGTCTGGGTTCAGCACAGCGTCACCTGCAGAGCAGCAGAGAACGTTTCAATGCTGATGTGTTTTTCTGCACAAATTTATTTCTCATAAGCTCTTAATTACAAGGTTGCTAATATGCTACATGTGAGCTTAATTTGCAGGGCTCTACACTGACCTCACCAAAATACCCCACACAGTCCAGCAGGCTCTGTCCAGTGTGGAAGTGTAGAGATTTTGGTAGTTTTAGGCCTCAGTTTGAGTAGCTGGTGTTGGTATATGGATTGTTCTACTGAACTGGTTCAAAGTCAGAGCTGAAAACACATTTGGGACTTTAAACTGACTTTTACTTTAGACTAAAATTCTTTTGTCTTGAGTGAAAATTGTGAGAAAACAAGTTTCATTAGTAAGAATTCTGAATGTTCCACACTGATTTTCAGGTTTTCGGACACATTTACATTTCCTGCTCTAAAATGCAGGGGTGTGGCTAAAATAAGGCTCCACCTATGCAATAAAACTCTTCTTCACTCTCAAAATAAATTTATTTAATTTAAAATCAATGAAATAAAGATAAAAGAGGTTAGGGTTTGGGACTGACCCAAGAGAAAATTCCTTTAAAAAGATGATTTTGTAGATATTGAACTTTCTTTTTTATCTATACCTTGTATTTCAATAGTTCAGAACATGATCCTTGTAAATACTGTGGGGTCTTCAGGAAATGTTCTCATGTTAATTCAAGGTTAATGGTTCTCTAACATTTATTCTCAGGGTTATTCTGCTAAGGACTCTTATTGTGAAGGTGGAGCTAGTTACCACTGGGGGATATGCATGACAGCTGACAGGAGCTGGGAGTCAGTCTTGAGCTGGAAGTGAGAAAGTTCAGACGTCAGCTTAGAGCTGAGGCTAGAGCGAGCTGTTAGAGAAAACTCTGCTTATGCACAGTGTGGCTGTGGCCAACAACAGCCAGTTAATTAAGCGCAACTACTTGTGCAAAAGCTGTGTCTCCTTAATGGCAGTGAACACTACAATATCTCAGCTCTGAATACGTCACTGTTTTTTACTGTGGGAGTGCGGTTTGGTAGAAAGGTCCGTATAACAGTTAAATAGTAGACTTACTTATATGTGATGTCAATTCAGTGTGCAGCACCATTAGCTTGCTTGTAGCATGTTTGATTCAATATTCATAATTAAACTGCTAAATGTGCTGGTAATTCATTTGAGGGAAAAATGAATGCAGGACAAACTGTATGAGCTTTGGAACACACAGGGTGCGAGAGCAACAATTTTCAAAGACACAATTTATTTTCCCCATAGAGGAAAACAGCTCAGTCCCACAGCTCCTAATATGGGCTTGACGCCAACTACAGAATGACGCATGACCTCAGGGGTCGATAAAGATGTGTACAAATTCCTACTTTCACTTCCTGTTACTCAGACAGGCATCGTCGGTCTGACCTGCTGTCTGTTTCTCAGCTGCAGACAGAATAAGAACAGCAGTGCTCTGAGCTGAAGATCTTCTCTGAAGCTTCATGATGGTCTGGGCTCTGCTCTGCATGTGCTTCCTCACTGTGGTGATTCCAGCAGAAGGACAAACAGCCTCGTGGCAGAAAGGAAGTAAGATCTGTGTCATTTCTCCTTCTTTCTCTTTTTTCCCCCAAGTCACAGTATCTGAAACAAATTGTCTGAGTAATCTGACATTTCAATGTTTCAAGTAATCTTGAGTAATCTGAAACAAAGTGGACTCGGTCCACTTAATAGAAGCACAACCACCAGAGACGTATCCTGAACCCATCCTCTAAGAAAAATATTGTTATTGCAGTGAAATAGTGAAAAAATAAAAGTACAAACCTCAGTTCAAAAAAGTAACAAGAGTGGAAGTACAAAAATATCAGCTCAAAAAGCTACTTAAGTACCGAGTAACTTACAGAATTTAAGCAAATCTTCTTAGAACATGATGAAGCAATAGAGGAAAGCTAACACAAACAGATGGACTACAGTGTCTAACTGTATACCAGCAAGCTACAAAAAAGGGGTTTCTGATAAAGTGGCCAAGACATGTACATGCTGTGAACAAGTCTGGCACATCTGCAACCTTTAGACTTTGTGGTAAACAGTGTTATCTGCAGTGATGTAACAGGCACTCTTACAGGAGCTAACCTCTACTGTCCTTTCTAGAAAACAGACAACCCCAACTGCACATTCTATGTAAAATCATTCCAGCTGGGCTCAGGGACAAAATAAATGCATAATGGACTCTTGAGTGGCACAACCATCCAAGCTAGTCACCAGTCTTATCTGCAAAGGGCCGGTGTGGCTGCAGGCATTCATTCCAACAAAGCAACAATTACCTTCCACCTGCTGGTGGGCCATCGGGCTACAGGTGCCCTGTGGTTGTAGTTAAGACCCATATTATCAGTGTAATGTAACACAACACCCTGCCCAACTGATGTGGGGAAATTACACCAGATTTAATAAGCATGAAAAGTGGTAGTGCCAGACCAAAGCATTGCTTGAGGCCCATGGTCAGTACCACTAGGTTGTCATGTTGTTCCAGCAGCAGATCCACAAGCACCTGTAGTGCTTTCCCCTCCAGTGCCAAAAACAGCTCTGTCAGGGGACGGCCACCATCCAGCCACAATGCCGAGTGGCCACTTGCAGCTATGCGGAGTATGGCTTCCAGGCACCCTCGCTGTTGAAGCGCAGTACTTGGATGCATGCCATCCCCTGCTCAGCGGACTCCAGCTGGGCTCTGCTACCAAGCCGCGTTTCCTTTGACCTTTTTCCCATAGCATTTGCTACCCCCTTTCTCCGGGCTGTTTTTAATTGGCCGTCCACCTTTGAGTTTGTTGAAGCGCCACTGGACTTCTTCAAGTTCGACAGGAATCTCCTGCTTCTGACATCAATATGACATTGATTCAGAAGAAGATACTTATAACTTTTATTTTAAACAGGCACTTTAACAGGCAGCAAGAAATGCCCATCCCAGCGCTACCCCAACGCAAAACACAGGGAGGGGGTAAAACAGGAGGACCCAAGTTAAAGTGTCTCTCTAGCTATCTATCTAGGGTTCTTTACTATGTATTTGAAACATTTTAAATTTGTTGTCTGTGTTTGCAGATCTGCAGGGACAGATGTTCAGCGTGATGTCTGGTGGAGAAGTCCGGTTCCGTTCAGACGCTCCCTCTAACGTCACCGGACTCACCGTCTGCATGAGGGTTCTGATTGAGAAACTCTACTACAGAGTTCAGCTCACGTTTGGGAACAGCACTGATGGAGTCTCTTATACGGGACCTGGTTCTATTGACCCTCATTATTTCTTACATGTAAAAAGTCACACTGTGAGCTTCAGGGTGTTCTCTATGTTGCCGGCACATGAGCAGCTGTGGCCATGGAGGAACAGGTGCTTCACCTGGGATTCCAGCAGTGGAATGGCCCAGCTGTGGTTTGATGGGAGAATGAGCATCCGCAAAGGAGTCTCCAGAGGACAGGTGATGACCAGGCTGTTACTAAAGAGCTCAAAATATGGGCATTTAAAATATGAAATTATTTAGAACTTAAGATATTACAGAAGACAGGACTAAAGATATTTTGGCATCCCACCACTGGCTCGTACTGCCTTAGCAGGAGGCGTGGCCATGCATAGACGCTTTCAGGAAACACCACGCTCACAATAGAAGAGACAGTTTTGGTAAATAAGTTGTTGTTAGTTTAAGGATGTGTTATGTGTGTTTGGTGTCTTATTGTGCTGGACTATGGGATGGTTAGAGTTGGGGTAGTGTCTGCTGTGAAGCATAAGCATGGGTGACATTTGGGGGACAAGGGGGGCATTTTCCTCGCCAAAATGTTCACTCACTTTAACTATTGAATGTTAACATTTGTTAAAACTACATACTACTTAGAGACTGATGTCCAGGACACTAGGGGGCAATGAGGTACTGATGACAATCAAAAGATTGGTTTATACATATATAAGATACTGTCGGTTTTCATCCACTCTCTTTATTCACTGTTAAGATACATTGACAAAGATCTTATTGTGCACAAAGCATTTGCCGGATTTTATCGGACTGACTGAACAGATGGAGAATCGGGCAAAGTTTAGATGCAGACTCAGCTATGGGTCACTACAAGGAATTGTATTTTGGTGTGCTGAACAAAACCGTTCATGAAATCAGTGATCAGTTCCAGAAAAATGATGTGGAAAGCCCAATTGCACTGAACAACATTCTCGGCTCGAGAACAAGCACTGAACACTGGCATTCATATGTCAACACTGTGGATTTCCCAAAGAGGAGACGAGTGCAGAGCTGTCCCACTTCAATGCTATGGCATCAGAAGAATCAGCTTCTATCAACAATTAGTACTTTTTAAAGCATCAGATCTGGGTGACGGCGTAGTAAACACTGGTAACCTCTTCAACTTGTTGCTGACCATACCAGTGAGCAGCACATCATGAGAAAGGAACATTTCTTGCTTTTGTTGATTGAAAACCTACATGAGAAACACTGAGTCAGGAGAGACTGTCTGACACTGCAGGGCTGAATACTGAACATTCACGTGGACTGTGGAAAAAACAGTCAGTGCATTTGATGCCGTGCTCGGTGGGCACTGTCCTGCATTTTACTAAGATAGGATATTGTTTATACTTTAAAAATATAGATAACTTGATAAATGTAGGGGTTTACTAAATATAAAAACAGGTTATTTAATATATAGCTTATTTTATTTTACTGATGTAGACCCAAATATACAGTTGGCTGAGATGGCTTTCCATCCCTGACATAAGTCTCAAATGTTGCCCATAAGTGGAAGTATATCATTAGAATGACTTCCCGGCCGTTCAGCTAGTGCTCGGCGGCGGTTGTCCAATGCTATTTGTTCAGTAGAAGAGCATTCGCCTTTAAAGCACAGTGTTTCCCACGTCTTATTCTATGACGAAGCTGCAATATTAAAAAATGTTGATCTTAGGGACTTAAGATGTGAAGAAAATGACAACTTCAAATTTTAAGAAACTTAGAACTTAAGATGGATATTTGAGACTTAAAGTGTTAAGAAACTTAAGATATTAGAAACGTAGGACGTTAAGAAAATTAGAACTTAAGATACTGAGCAACCTAGCAAACCTTAGCAACCTGATGAAGATGTCATACAACTTCGAATGTTAAACAACTTAAAATTACGATGTTACAAAACTTAAGACCTGGGATATTAGAGAACTCAGAACTTAGGAACCTAGGACTTAAGAAAGTAGAACTTAAAATTCTGAGAATCGTAGAACTTAAGAATTTGAGCAATCTAGGATTTAAAATGTTGAGAAATTCAAGATGTTGAGGAACATAGGATTTATGGAAATTAATGCTTGAGATATTAAGGGAGCCAGATGGTTAAGATGTAAACAAAGCCATTGAGGAGTCTGTTAGTCTTTTAGCTTCTGAAAGAATCGCTGTTTGTATTTTGTAAAAACGGAAAGGAAATAATTAATTATTTTGTTGAGTTTTTCACTCTGTAAAAGTATTTAAGATGCAATTTCACTGGAATTTTAGTGTTTTAGCTGTTTTGACTTCTTTCATTTCCCATTATGTGCCTGTGCATTTAGTTAATCTTCAGAAAAGAAGATATTGTTGATTACAGTAATGCACTGCGGTCAGTATGTGGTCTGTAAAATAAGAGTTTTGTGCTTCATTTAAAACTACAGTACAGGGTGTCTTTACTGTAAACAAACATTTCAGTGCTGTAGATATAAATTACAGTAACTACCTGGTGAGTATGCTACCAGAATGATAGTGTAAATTCACATAGTAAGATTTACAATGATTGCCAAACATGTTAGTTAATAAAGATTAGCTTAGATATATTTACTCCACACGACTGCACACTCAACGTCTGCAGTGCTCAGTCTCACCTGTGGAGCATTAATGCACTAAAACACAGCTAAAGCACTAAAACACAGCTAAAAACACAGCACAGGCAGCTATTTAAACACAAACAATAATTACAATACTTCTACTACTACTACTACTACAACTACTAACAACAACAACAACAACAACAACAACAATAATAATAATAATAATAATAATAATAATAATAAAATGCTGTAATTCCCTCTCTTGTCTTCTGTGTCTGGTTTTTCCACTGTAGGTGTTTTCTGGCCAGGTTGAACTATCGCTGTCTGATTTTGAGGGTCAGCTGTGTGACGTCTACGTTTGGAACTCGGTCCTTCCTTTTAGAGATCTCTACAATTTCCTCAGCTACAATAAGAGCATCCCATATAGCGGCGTCCTGGACTGGAACCAGATGCAGTACAGCACCAGCGGCTACACTCTCCTGGAGCCCACTTACGTTACAGCATTTTAGGCGAAGCCCTTTAGAGAGTGCGGCTTGAGAAGGTTCTGGAGAGATGATGAAGAGAGAGATTAAAGAAGCTTTTATCAACAGTAACAGAGTAACAGTAATCTTCATGATGAAACAGGGGGTCTAAAGTCCAGCGCCCAGGTTTAGAGTGCATTACAGGAGGCCGGACTAGAGTGATTTAAGCATAAGAGCCTTTATTTCTCCTCAGTTTGGGCTCCACTGTGAAAAAATGGCTGAATTTGATCTGAACAAATATTTTAATTTTGTACACACCCCCCCCCACACTCACCTTCATGACTTGTCCGACCTTCAGCACCTTCGATATTCTTCACTGTAACCTTTTAAGGCTGACTGCTGACTTTACATAATAAAAGCCAGGACAAAATAAAAGCAAATTCACTTTGTATTTGTCTTGTACTCAATAAATATGGAACTTATTTTTTGGAATCTACAATAAAAACACACACATAAGTATATATATATATATATATATATATATATATATATATATATATATATATATATATATATATATGTATCTATATCTTTTAAATCCATTGTTTTGAATTGTCTTTTAATGTGTAGATGGCAATCAGCAGTCAATTGCCATCAGGGCTGTTTAATCTGTATCCATAAATCAACTCTTTCTCAAATTGTATAGTTCTAATTTTACTTTTAAAGATTTTTCACATTTCAGTACAGTTGCTGCTAATTCTGTGCAGTTTAATGCCATTTATTTTTGGATTTCAGAAACTACATTGCAGTTTTGTGTTTCATTCTATATTATCATTTAAATAAAAAGCTTTAAAGTCTGATAGAACAACTGAACACTATTATAGTCTATTATAACAGTCTATAACCATATAAGGCAATAATGTAAATGAACAGGGTTACGATAGTCTGTAAATAAATGAGGCAATAATCTAACTGAACCAGGTTATAACAGTCTATAACCGAATGAGGCAATAATGTAAATGAACCAGGTTATAACAGTCTATAACAGAACGAGGCGATGATGTAAATGAACCAGGTTATAACAGTCTGTAACTGAATGAGGTGATAATGTAACTGAACCAGGTTATAACATTCTATAATCGAACAAGGCGATAACGTAATAGTATGGTTTTGTGAATATTCAGTCTGTCTTTGTTGCAGATATGCAGTTCAAAAAATTAACTTCCTGTAACTTTCCTGTAAAAATGAGAGCTGCTCTGTTTTTTCTGTACAGTAAAAGACTTTTATGATGAAAGGCTGGACAAAGTTGACAGCATCATTATCTTTTTTTGATTGATGCATTTTTTCAATTGCACATAACTAAGCCACTTGGTGAGTAAACAGCGGCAGAATAACGTCAAATAAATAAATACACAAAATGCAATACAATAAAATAAATAAATAAATAAAGTAAACATAAAACATAAATGAACACATAAATAAATAAACATCACATGATAATACATTTCAAAATATGAGGAAAGTATTGCTCTTCTTATTTATCGTTTTAATGTAATCCAATGCCCTGTTTAGATTAAAACAAAATTACAAAAACTTAATCACTAAAATCAAATTTTCAGATAAAATAAAATAATGAACAGTCTATTCAAAAGCGGTATTAGGATCCATGTAGTAAAAAAGCTCTCTTTCAAAGTAAAACTGTGACTCTGATTTACAGGAGAGACACAGAGATGCAGTCAGAACACAGTGAAGCCCTGCATCACTCTGTACTGCCCTCTGCTGCTCACCACACGCAGCACACTTTCATTGTTCACAGTGGTGGTGATAGGAACCAGACGTCCATCCTTACAGCCAGGCTGAGGGTAGAGGTGTGTGGCTGTGGTGTCAGATAGCTGAGAATTTGAAGCTTTGTTTCCTCTGAAAAGCACCACCACAGGGCTGTTTCTGGTTCCAGAGGTTTCAAATTTAAAAGAAGCGTTTTCAACCCGGCTAAAGCGAAAGTGAAACTCAGCAGCCCTGTTAAGTAAAGAGAGGATCATAAAGCAGTTTAGAAAAGAAAGACAGTGAGTGTGTAAATCTGAGCTGTAGTCTATGAATTATATGAATCTGCACTGGACAAGGCGACCCAAAATTATGAAAAATACGTTTTGAATGTTCTCATTGATCCTCTATATAGAAATCCTCATATTTTTGTACTGTTGTAGTTTTTGGTTGCTCTCATTATAACAGTTCTGCCGTATCAGTTGGATCCTGAAAGTCCAGTCAGCGTCTTCTCCACACGCTACAGCACTGAACGCGCTCTTCCTCGTCCAGTAGCCACTGTGCGCTGTGTGAGGGGGCAGAGCTTGTCGGTATGCAAGATGATGTCACCCTGTAACAAGGGAAAAGGGCTGGAATTCCAATGAGGCGTTTCAGGCAGGTGAGAAAAGTGGGTTCTGTGGGAGAGAGTTTCTCCCTCTGGAGCTTTTGAGAACATTTGCATGCACAAAAAGATACAACACACTAAAGGACTAAACGAGAAAAACCTTTCCCCTTTTTAAACTTTAAAAAGTTCTCTCACATCTAATGAGCCTTTCTCTCGTTTCCGGGGTCGACATTTCCGGTTTGGGAAGTTCTGTGTAAAATCATTTCCGCTTTTGAGTTTTCATTCATTTCTATCTGATGATGAGCTCAGAAAGAAATGGTTAATCACAATAAAAAGGAGTGAGGAGCCGACATTCAAAGTAATTTGAAACAGCACGTATGTGTGCAGCGCTCATTTCAACCCGTCGGACATCTACGTTACACCGAAGGGAAAAACATGGGTGAAAAGGGGCCGCAGTACCAGGTCGTTTCAGTTGGAGTCAACAAGCAAGAGGGTCTGTGCATAGCAGAGAGAGGGCCCGCCTCATAAGAACATGTTTTTAAGTCCACACAGCCTTTTATTTTGAAGACTAAAGACAAACATTATAAACAATAAGAGACTGCAGCTCTAATATGAAATGACTTTGTTGTTGCTGACACTGTACTGGAGGGGTCACAGCTGTCTAGACAGATATTCAAAGGTCAGATACAAAATCTTCTCTGACACAGTGAGAGTAAGATCTCTTAGCTAGCTCACTTATTTCAGAAGCGCAGCCTGGTTTAGTGTCTTTTAGTGTTCACAGTAAAGATTGATCGGCTCTTATTCCCTCTTTCTCAGTAATGAAACACAGAACCTCAGATTAAAGTGAGTTTAAACAGAAGGAAGAACTTCAGAGCAGAAGAGCTTCCAAAGACAATCTTCAAAAGGAAATAAATGTATCGTGTATCTGTGCATGTCTGCACAGTCATTTTTCATTTCTATGAACATTAATTTTTAGCATCTTAGGTGTCATTTTTAACAAGACTGATTTCACAATTGATATTACTGTTAAAATTACCAACATAAACTAATTTGCAAAGAATAAGTAAATAAATAAAATAGAGCAGAAATAAAGAAATAGAAAGAAAGAACAAGTAAATTAGGCTGTGCACTGACAGTGAGCAGTGGAAAAGCAGAATATAGTCTAAAACTCTGCTCAGCTGCTAGTGGACTGCCCCAAAAACGATGAACAAAAAGCCAGATCACTGCTGGTGGCAGTCGCGGGTGGGCTGCCAGATTTGCTGTCAGTGGGCCGAAAGTGGCCAGCTTTCATCTTACTATCTGAGTTTATCAGAATAATAACACTTCAGGAAGTAATTACGGCAACCTGGAGGCAAAATCCACTTTATGAGTGAACTGAGGTTTCAGAACACTAAGGCCCAGTCCCATTTCTTATTTTTACCCCTACCCCTTGTTTTCGAGTGTTGCCCCTTGGAACTGAGTTACAGGGTAGTGGTTGAAATCTTCCCTCTGAAATGGGACCCTCAAATAAAAAGAGCATCACTTCATTAACAGCTACCAGCGCTGCTCTGTAGACGACTCTGCCAGTCTGACCGTCTGAAGTCCTGTTGGTGAGTTACTGAGGGTTCGGTCAAAGCTATAGTCTACTCTGTATTTCTGTTCTTGACTAAATCTGTTTGAATGGGCAGATAGAATGTGTTCGGTAAACTGAGTAGAACAGTCTGCTCCGCTAGGAATCTTTTGAGGAGTGTTGTGATTGTATCACATGACCTCCTTCTATAAAGGAGTCGTCATATCTGATACCAAACCAGTCTGAACAGGTTTGAGAGAAAGAAAAACCTATTTTGTGAACAGTTAGAGCGAAAGAAATAGATAGAGGTAGAAGAGCAGGAGAAGGACGAGGACAAGAACAAAGAAGGAGACAAGGCAATAGACATTTCCGAAGATGTTAGGGCCACCTTAGTGGACCATGTCATAAATCATGGCCTGATGATGAGGGAAGCTGGGTAGAGAGTCCAGCCCAACTTGAGTTGCTACATGGTGGCATCCATAATGCAAAGATTTAGAGAGCCGGTATGTCTTCAGTTCTAAACACTAGACTGTACCTGGGTAATTGTTGCACATCAAACTGCATCACAGTACAATACAGTGTAGTCTCACTATATTAGGTCTAAGCTCCTCAGTGAATGCAAAAAAATAGATATGTTGCTGTGAAGCACATGTAATACAGTTTTGATGTTACAGTCCAGGTGCTGTGTACAGTACAACTGCACAGTGTGCAAAAAAAGCTTACAATGAAGTCATGTTCTTGCATTTTCTACAGAACTGACAGATGACCTCCTCAGGACAATGTGTTTTCACCCATGAAGAGGAACTGGCCATTGCCAATCTAGTGTTGGCCAACAACACCATCTGCCTGCATCAACTTCAAAAGCAAATCCTTGCAGATCACACATCATTTCATAACCTCAACCATGTCAATTTACCACCAATTTACCATGAAGCGGCTGTACAGGGTTCCATTTGAGAGGAACAGCGTTAGAGTCAAAGACCTTCGATATGACTATGTGCGAGTGTCACTGCACTGCTGTGTTCTGTAATACAGCAGTGGCAGTAGATTGTGTCCTATTGGCACGGCATAGATACATTCAGACAAAGCAGTATGTGATAGGTGCCCCCATTCCAGAGGTGGGGGGCTGTCTGTGGGATCAATTACATTGCCTGTAGCTTGTAGTTTTGACTGAATGTGTCTGACCCCCACCCCCCATCCTTGTGTGTAAATGTAGCCATTGTAGTCCTGTGTTTTGGCTTGCACCATATTCACGGTACAGTGTATGTATTTTCTGTTCTTATGAGAGTCTTGGACTTTGATGCAGCCGCACAGCATCAAGAGTTCCTTTTCATTGATGAAGCTGGATTCAGTCTAGAAAAACCAGGCATCAGGGCCGAAATGTAATTGGACAAAGAGCCATTGTGAATATCGCTGGGCAGCGGGAGGAAATATCACCACGTGTGCAGCCACTTGTCTGTAAGGAGTTCGCCATCACCAAGCCACCCTCGGTCCCTACAATACTGCACACTTAATCACATTTCTGGACGCACTACATAATGCAGTCGTACAGGATGGATCAGAGCAGCCCAGGTTTGTTGTCATTTGGTTTACTCTTAGTTTCCACCAGGCTGCTGTGGAACAGGACTGGATCACCAACCACAACAACTTCACAGTTTTATATTTGCCCTCTTCCCATTTCTCAGTCCAATTGAGGAATTCTTTTTGGCTTGGCATCAGAATGTGTATGGTTGCCAACCACATGCCCCTCTGCCTCTTCAGCAAGCAATGGAAGAGAGGAGACATTGAGGTGGAGTGAGTCCAGGGTTGGATACAACACGCAAGTCAATATTTTCCCTGTTGTCTTGCCAGGGATGACATTGCTTGTGATGTGGCCAGACCCTGACAGAAGGCAGGATCCTTAAGCCGTCCACCCCATTACTTACAATCTCACAGGATAATATATTTGCACATTGCACTACAGATTTACTGTAATTATTTTTTGTCATACTTCCCTCTGTTCCCGCTGTCTCTGCTTCCCAACCTCCGGACTCCGTTACCCAGAACCCCACTCCAGATCACGTAACCTCCGATCTCCCTCACATGACTGTATACTGGTCTGCCTCACTTGACTACTAATTACACTCACCTGTTTCTTGTTTCATATGCTTGTTAGTTTAGTATACAAGCCCAGGCTTTAGCTTAGTTCAGTGTGAAGTATTGCCTTTATTATCAGTTTGCCATTTTGTGTATGAACCTTGCTTTGTTTTCTTTGACCCTATTTCTGGACATTGCTTTTTGGACACCACTCATGGTTCCTGTTTTGGCTTTTGGACTGGCTGACTTTGATTTCAGATGCCGCCTTTGTTAAGATTAAGTGACCCTTTTTAGTCCCACAACAGGGAAATTTCACCTCCGCATTTAACCCATCCGTGCAGTCAAACACCACATACACACTAGTGAACACACCCTAGGGGGCAGTGAGCACACTTGTCTGGGGTGGCGGGCAGCCCTATCCACAGTGCCCAGGGAGCAGTTGGGGGTTGGGTGTCTTGCTCAGGGCACCTCAGTCACGTACTGTCGGCTCACGGGATCAAACCGGCGACCTTCAGGTTACAATGCTGGTTCCCTAACCTCCAGCCCACGACTGTCCCGAAGGTTAATAAACCCTTTTTACCAAAGCATAGTCTGCGAGCATCTGAATTCTGTCTGGGCCTGACATTTTTGTTTCCATTAGTATACAGTAACCAACTGTACTGAATACATACTGTAAAACATTTTTTCTTTGTTTTTTTTTTTCTTTTTTTTTTGTAAAAACCTGCAATGGCAAAAAATAAAGCTGTTTTCTGAAGCCTTTCTATTTTTCATAGAAATGTGAGCAGATGCCCTGAACTGGAACTGCCTTTGACGGAAGCCTGTACGAGATATTTAAAAAGGTATGCGAAGTACTAATTCTGAATTCTGGATCAATTAAGCAATCAATTAAGAAGAGAATAGGTACGGTGTGGTCTTGTGTACAGTGCTTTTGCACGATTTAGAATGAAACAAATTGTAGAGTTTGCCACAAAAGAAGTTTTAGCCCAACGAAGCTAAAACCAAGCCATGACAAAATTGCATCCTTTTATATTAATGTTTTTTCCTCTCTGCTGTTGTGCTTGTTATATAGACAACTGTCATTGAATGTATTCTCTATATAATGTATTGGAAATTAAATGAATTGTAATGGTCTTTCACACAAATAGAGCTTCTTTCTCAGCCACTAAATCAGAGAAAGCCACTAAAAATAGAGAACTGAAGTCCTGATGGTGAGTTTTGAAGGTTAGGTTAAAGTTTGTTTAGTGCTAATCATTGTTCTTGAGTGAATTGGTTTAAATGGGCAGATAGAATGAGTTCAGTAAACTGAGAAATCTGCACTGTTAGGAATCTTTTGAGGGCTGTTGTGATTGTATCACATGACCTCCTTCTACCAAGGAGTCGTCATATCTGATAACAAACCAGTCCAAGCACATTTAAGGAAAGGTGAAGCTCATTTTTTGAGCAGACGGACGTAGTGGAAATTAGGAGAGACACAAGGTGAGTAGATCACATGTGAGGTGTATTTTAGTAATGAATTTTTAGCAGACGATGCTTTAAGGGGTGATCATTACAACCTCAGAGCAAAATCCACTTCATGACTGAAATGTTATCCGATATAAAGTCTGTTACATAAATGTGTAACTTACACTCCTACACTGTGTGCAGATTTAAAAAGTGTGTGTTTGCGGTTGAGGACAGAGAGTAACTCTGTGTGTGAATTGTTTACAGTTGTGTTTAAAATGCAGTGTAAGAGTATAGCAATACTGCAGGAAGAGGCATGTTAGCTCGAGTCAATGGTGTCCAGTCTTGTCTTCAAAGGGCCGGTGAGGGTGCTGATCAAGTGTGCTTGGGTGTGCTCAGTGGCTCAGGTAGTCTGTGGCAGAATAAGCGTTTATTACCCCACCACAGCCTACAAGCAAGATTTCTCAGCTAAAGCACTAAAATCAGTTTCGAAGATCATCAACGCAGAAGAACGCAGAGGTTTATTTCCACTTTGTTACAGAGCTGTTTCTTTTAGCACTAATTTCAATACTTTATTGTTTTCCTGTGCCTTTAGGTGAAATTTATTTAATGACAGCTTAAGAAAAACACAAACAGAATAAATTAGGACTGCCATCATTACAGTTAATAAACACAGTTCATTTCTAACTGTGTGTGTGTGTCCATTTGTGCTGCAGCCATTACTGCAGAGCAGTGGCGTCAGGTTCAGCAGGGCATAAAGCTCACTTTTAGACGCGCACATGTAAATCGTATCGTCAGTCTGCGAGCTGAGTGTGTACACCTCAGTGTTGCCAGTGAGTGTCTTACACCTCAGTGTCACATGGTACACCTCAGTGTCGGTACACCTGAGTCGTCTCAGTGTCTGTGTACCTGAGTGTCGGTACACCTGAGTGTCTGCGTACCTGAGTGTCTGTACACCTCAGTGTCTGTACACCTGAGTGTCTGTACACCTCAGTGTCTGTACACCTCAGTGTCTGTACACCTGAGTGTCTGTACACCTCAGTGTCTGTGTACCTGAGTGTCTGTACACCTGAGTGTCTGTACACCTCAGTGTCTGTGTACCTGAGTGTCTGTGTACCTGAGTGTCGGTACACTTGAATGTCTGTACACCTCAGTGTCAGTACACCTGAGTGTCCGTACACCTGAGTGTCCGTACACCTGAGTGTCTGTACACCTGAGTGTCCGTACACCTGAGTGTCCGTACACCTGAGTGTCCATACACCTGAGTGTCTGTACACCTGAGTGTCTGCACACCTGATGGCCGTGATTGATCAGTCGATTCTCAGGTGTGATGTTTTGAAAGGTGGTGATTTGAAATAGCAAAGAAGTGACATCATGTTAGATTTGCGTGTGTAATGTAGAGAAGTGTGTTTAGTGATCTGCAAACCACTGTGTGTGTGTGTGTGTAGTGTGAGGCTGAGAATGAGCATTGTAGTGCAGGTCTGGGCTGAAGTGTTGCTCCTTCAGGGTCAGGTTTCACTAACTGGGTGTTATTTATAAATTTAGTGTGTAAGTAATCATAAAAACTGTACAACAAAAATCTAATCATTTGAATCAGTGTTGACTGGGGCTTTAAATGAAAGGAAAAAAAACACTTGAAACTGTTGACTTGATGTTATAGCTAAAGTTGTCAGCTACTCTAGCTTAGGTTTTACTAAGTTACAGATTCTTTTAAAATGTACTAAAGTTTGAACTGAGTTAGTTAGTAGCTAGTTAGATTGCATCCTGTATAAACTCAGCCAGATACTCATCTAACATCATCTTCAAGTTTGCTGATGACATCACCATCCTAGGCCTCATCACTGATGGAGATGAAACAGCCTACAGAGGCGAGTCAGCGCTCTGTCAGAGTGGAGCCAAGACAGCAGTCTTGGTCTCAACATCAGCAAAAAGAGTTTTTCTTACATAGGTTCCTTCTGTCTCTATATTTTGTGTATATTTTGTGTTTATTTAATATATTGACCACAAGCATTTCAATGCACGAATGTCCTGACATGTTGTGCAAATGACAAATAAACTTGAAACAACTCAAGTTGTTTTGCCTCTTTCTGTAAACACCACATTTATTGTGTAGCACTTCAGTTCTGTCCTTCAGACTGAAGGTTGTTCTACAAAGAAAAGCTCCTTATTTGAAGCCGTGTTGAACCTGACAGGTATTTAGAAGTGTTAGGTTATTTATAATGCAAACTTTGCAGCACATAATGAGATTAAACTAAAATACTCTACTAAAGGCTCCAGACTTGAGCCAGACTCCCACTACGGAGACTCAAGTCTCAACTCATTTGTGATCTGTAGTTCCCCCCCTAGGGTGCTGTGCAGTGTGTGTTACTTTACTAACTATTCCTTTGGATAGGTCAGAGGTTTGGTTATTTGCCTTGCCTCATTGTTGAACGCTGGTGGCTGTAAGAGCAAATCACTATATTCTCTACCGTTAAATGTGGTTTTAAACTGATCTGATATCACTTTGTTCTTCTCATTGCAGAAATGAAGTGTGTTTATCTCATCGTTCCATTTCTTCACTTCACTTTCTCAGGTAAAATTTTACTTATTAAAGATAAAGCATATCAAAGATATCTAAGCCAATATTATGAACTTGGATATTTTTATGCATCTTTGAAAGGGTTGGGATGTAACAGAAGTATTGGGAATACTAGGAATTACATTACATTTTGAAATGACAGTATTCAGAATATAGTTACTTTTTCACACAGTGCTTTACCAAAGTAAAGAACAGTAACAACCATTAAAATTTATGCAAATATCTGTAAAATGATTTTTGTGATTTTTGGTGAATTTACAAATGCATTTGTGTGTAAATGTGAATTCCCCACATGTTGGTGTTTCTCCGTTCCTCTTTGCAGAGTTTCAGGTCGTGGGTCCACCTGATCCTCTTATTGCATTAGCTGGATCTGATCTGGTTCTGCCATGTTCTGTGCAACCCAGCATGAGTGCGGTGGACATGAATATCAACTGGACGAGAGCAGACCTAAAAAACACACTAGTGCATGTCTACAAGGACCACAGGGAAAGAAACGATGATCAGGACCCTTCTTACAGAGGAAGGACGGCTCTATCTGAAGAGAATCTACAACAAGGCAACACCTCACTGCTTCTGTCCAAAGTCAGAGGGTCTGATGAGGGAAAATACACATGTTCTATCAGGGCCAAATCTGGATTTGGTGATTACACTTTTGAAGTGAAAGTTGAAGGTAAAAACAATTTTTTGTTTAATTAATTTTATGCGTAAGAAGCATAGGTGCCAACAGGAGATGGGGGGGCAACACCTCAACATCCAACATCCACTCCTAGTGCACAGCTCAAGAAAAGCCACAGTAGTGAAACTGCGCAGAACAGTCTGAAAACAGCTGTTATGATGAAATAATAACAATGGATATTTGAAGCATTGACGGTTGCTATGGCAATGGCGTATGGTAGGAGACAAAGCAGAAGAGTCTGGATTGTTTGGTAGCATCGCTGATAGCAAGCTTAAGGCATCCTTACTATTCTAAACCTGAAGGAGGTCTAACAATTTAATATGCAAGAAGAGATCTCTGTAAAGGTGACGCTGACATATTGGAGAGGCTCTTCAAAAGCAAGGCTTTTTTTAATGCCCAGCCCAGCACTATGAGGAAACATGGGGAGTGTCATGTATGGAATGAGCAGGGAGGCTGGATATAAGTGCGGGCAGACTTTAATAACCAAAACTAGCCAGCAAAATACAAAGTACAAAGTAACTAACTACAAGGCTTAAACAAAGAAACACAAAGCGCAAATAAAACACCAGGCAGGGAAAGACCCACTACATTAAACAAAGTGACGAGTAGACCAGACAAACACTGACTGAAACAAAGGGCTAGATAAAGGCTACAACAAATGGGGAACACCTGGGAAAGGGAGGAGACAGAGACTACAGACAGGTGAGGATACTAATAGGGAAGGCGGGGAAAGGGCGGAGCATAAGAACCAAAACAAAAACACAAGCACATGGCAGAAAGTACATGGCTACAAAACAGAGCAAGTAACAGACACAGGAACAAGGGGAAACCATGACAGATAGGGGGTAACGTGGGAGGACACAACATGCGAGGAGGGTAGAGACTTTTGACCACTTGTTTCACTACAAAGCCCACCCTCCTCAGACACAATTACTCTAATCAATGCAACTACACACTAACAACAGCAACAGCATAATCAACAACACGTCTCTTTTTACAGTGGGAGTGTGGCACCTTCCGAGAGCCACTTTTCATTGCCACACCCCTAAACAATATGTTCTGTTTTTTATGACCTGCTTCAGACATTTATGTTTGGACAGATTTTGGGTCAGTTTCAGCTTCTGTTGGACTTTCAGTAAATGTTGTCAGCTGTTCACACTGCAGGGAGTGAACAAGGCAATGCATTCTAACTTGTCCATGCCTTGTAATTTAGGACTCTGGACTAGACTTGAGACTTGCCTGTACTGGCTTGGGACTTGACTCAGGACTTGAGTATCAAGCGTTGAGACTAATTTGCCACTTGCAACTTAGGAATGTAACAAAGTTGAGTCAGTGCAAATGGGATCCAACTGCAAGCTGAACTCTATTGATGGAGCAAGGGCAGACCAGCCAATTGCCCAAAAGCAGTCCAAAGCCATTTCAGATAAATCATAAAAACATACTTAAAACATGGGTGAAATCCAAACTTTGAAAAGCAAATGACTAAAACCTAAGCAAGACTTTGCAAGGAAAAACTCAGAAAAACTAATGTCCAGACAAAGGTAAAAAACCAGATAGAAATCAGATAGAACAAATTGTTCAGTATTGACTGGCAAAAACCTAGGATTCAGGCAATAGTGACCTCTGCAGAGGGGGATCTTCAGTTAAGTAACCTCTGGTTTCTATATACTGAATTATGTTGTGATCACTTTATCCACAGCTATTGGAACACACCCACTGATCACTGTGGAGAGCTACGATAGCTCAGGAGGGGTCAGTTTACTGTGTGAATCTAAAGGTTGGTGGCCTAAGCCTGATCTTGAGTGGCTGGCCAGTAATGGAGCTAATGTGATCGGAGTTACAGAAACAGACAGCGACACAGGGAGCTTCAACGTGAAACACCGTATCACTGTATATAACAGTGACAGCAACAAGTTTTACTGCAGAGTGAAACAGAGGGATCACATGATGGAGGCAGAGATCATCATCTCAGGTAAGTTACACCGCTAAAACCCTTTAACAGAAGCACTTACATATTAGCAGCAGATTTATCAAGCTACAAACATTTCAGTGTTAGACTTTTTTTTAACATTCGGAATCAATCAATTTATTTGCCGCCTTTCATTTATTTCATTTCCAGTCAAAAGTTGCATGCATCGATAATGAAATACATGTAGAATGCACTTCCCTGACACCGATACAGGTTACTCATGATCATTGTTTGTGAAGGGAGCACTAAGCACTGGGAGTTACTGGCTCCCATGCTTTTTAAAAGTGCAGGTTGCATGACCACGCAATCCAATTAAACTTGCTGCCTTCCTGCTCTCACTTCGAAACACCGGCTAGTGACCAATCATTGTTCTGAGAACACCATCAGCTTCTTTGTTTGATGTGTCCGTCTCCTTTTCTCAGTGAGGTTCTTCTTGAAAGATAGACATCCTTTCAGACCCACAGTGCTGAGTCGTCTTCTCACAGTGGAAGGATGGACAGAAACACCTGTGGATGTTTTCAGACCTGAAGCAGCTTGATTTTCTCCTCTTCTACACTTCTTATGAATACCATGTCTATAAGAACCTATGAACAGATTCATAACATATTATAATGCATTCATAAGACACAATAAACATGCCTATAAATATTTATAAAAATGCATTACACTTTATAGCCATGCTTATTATGCATTATGAATTGTTAAAATAATGCATTTTAAGTAGTGTTCATAACCCATTATAGGAGCTTGTAAGTTGTATTTGTCAGCTCTAAAGTGAGACTGTACTAAAGGCTCCTCCAGTATTAAGAGTGAGGCTTCAAGCTAAGGTATTTACTGAAGGACACAAAGTAAAGCACTTACATCTTTCAAACGCTAAACTAATTAAACTGGTGGTGTAGCTTCCCAGCCTCCTTCTAGGCCACCTCCAACCACTAGAAGGGATCAGAGAACTGGAAACAAGTTACTGAGGCTGATCAGATGCAGCTGTGTGAGGAGAGCTCTCCCACAGCTCACCGCTCAGTCTTGAGTTCATGCTGACACATGTCTCTCTGCTGAGCTTGTAACCTGTATTCTAGGGTCTCGAGTTTCTGTTAAACTCTGGGTTCTCCCCCAGTTGTTTGTCGTGTGTAAGTATTAAAAAAAAGAAAACTTTTTCAGTTGACTACTCTCCCCCTTTAGTTTTCAGAAAACTCTCTTTTGTGTGAAAACACTGCCCTGGTGTTTCTTTTGTTTGGCCTTAGTCCTCTCGTGAGGTTGAGTTCAAGTCTCGCTCGGTGCAACCTTGCTTTTCTCCCCCCCCCCCAATTTCCGAGTTTCTACTGTTCTGTACTTAAGTACATCTTTATGTCTGGTCGATGCCTTATCCCATAGCTCACTGGGTTTCTAACAAGGGGGTTGCTGGTTCAGTGCTCATGTAGAATAAGCCAGTCACTATGTTACAAGTGGTGCCATCAGTAATATTCGATTGAATGTGGGAAAGTGGTGTACACCACTGTTAGCTTGGCGTGAACCTAACACTGTATATCCAATAAATCCTAGCAAAATTAGCATTACCATAGTGAAGGTTTTAGTGGTTTAGTGTTATAAAGGTTTATAGTGGTTAATATTAGAACTAGTCAGGGAGCAAATTACAATGATAGCACTCCAGTAACTTGCCTCTCACTCTCCATGCCTTCACTCCAAAGTGACTTTGTGCTCAGTGCTCATGGTTCATGCTCAAGGGTTTCAGGGGAGGGGCTTGATGGGTAGTTGGTTTGCTGTGATGTCATTTTTAAAGTGAGAGTGGTTGTTAAAGAGAGGCATTGTAGTAATAACTCAGGGCCGGAAAATGTGTTTTAAATAAACATACTTGCCTCACTTTACATTCTGCAAGCTGGGACTGAGATTTCTGGCACTGACAATACCGAAATTTATTAACACAACTTATAATGCACTATGTTAGCAATTCATAATGCATAATAAACATGGCTATTTCATTTTTATAACTATTTATAGCCATGGTAACTATGCCAATTATATGCATTATAACATGTTATGAATGTATTACGAAGATGCTCGTAGACATAGTCATAGTAAATTTATCATCATTTTTTTATTATAATTATTTTTGACCATTGGAGTTTCTCTCCTGTGTCCTATGAATGAGTCAGGTCATAACACGATAGTTAACAAGCTTTATCATCACAAGTGCCAGATACCACAGTTAGACTGATCACAGGCTGCCTTTTTTACTTTTTTAGTAATAGTAATTCCATATCTGAGATGGAATTTTAATTTAACTTTCTTGTTTGTATTTAAGATCAGATGTTCCGTGACTGGAAGACCAAAGTTGCCTGGATTACAGTCATTGTTTTAGCAGTTGTTGGACTAATTGGATTTATCTTTTGGAGAGGTAAAGTATCATCTATTAAAATTCCCTAATCTATGGTCCAGTTTCCAACCAAAACGTGCAGAAAAGGGCGTTTGTCGAACCGGGATTGGGAACCATTGGCCCAGAGCATGTTAATTCCAGTTAAATTTAGATTTAGATTTAGTGATTACAGTGAAAAGTCTGCTACTCCCTGGCTGAGATAGTAATAAACTTCTAACAAATAGCAGCAGTACAACCCTGGATAAATAGTATATGCGAGGAGTCGCCACCTAAATGTTAAGAAAAAACATTTTGTCCTTTCATTAAAAATCTAAACATCTTGGGGGCCACAACATTTTATGTTAATATTATATATATATATATATATATATATATATATATATATATAAACACAAATGCAGACTTATGTTGTTCAACTTTAAGCTTTAGCTCAGCTTTAGCTGCTTTTCTCGCATCTCCGGCAGGAAACTTTTCTGCAAAAATGGAATTGTTTTTTGTAAAATGTCTCTCAACGTTTGGTTTTTACGAGGCTGACGTCACTTCTCATTTGCCAGCTTCTTGTTCAAATTTTCCTGTTCCACCTTAAATGGTGCCAGAGGTGCCAGAATGTAACTGCTGCACCATTTAAGGTGGAATGGGACTGTTCAAACAAGAAGCTGGCGAATGAGGAGCTGATTTCATATTACAGACTTTGTATTACAGAAATGTGGTGCTGCTAAGACAAGTTGGATAAACAGAATTTGCCAAATGTGACTGGGCTCAGCAAAGCGCATAGCAGGAGTGAAAGTTTTTCACAATTTTATCACAGTTATCACAGTCGTAAGATGTGAATGACAATTATAAACACAAAGTATAAATAAGGACTCTGAATAAAGACAATCAATGGGGGGGTATCTCCAGCATGACAGGGGCATAAAAAGGAAAAAAAATGAAGAAAATGAAAGTAATTAATGAAGGTGATTAAGGTAACTAATTAAAAGAGTTATGGCAAAACAGAAAACAAACACTTTACTTGAACCCTGCTAGCTAACATTGACATAATCATGCTATAAACATGCCATATCAGATGTCATATGCTGTCATGACACATATTGTTCAGTAATATAACTGTGTGGTGTTACCATTAACACTAATTGTCATTGACTGATGTCATGAGGTTTGATGTCATGATAGCTAACTAGACAACACTTTAGCATTTACAGTTAGCATGTGACTAAGCTGTCATTACGTCAAAGATTATGGTTTATGAATACTTATCTACCTGTTTATTATAGAATGTTTTATAATTGAAGGTTAATAGATTATGCTTTTTCATTTTCCTGCATGCTGTTTTTTAGAAAGAAGACAAAAACAGAAACGGGAAAAAGGTAAACAGTATTTATTTCTTTTGTTCAATAATACTTGTGATTATTTATCAAGAGAGAGTTTTTATTGCTCCATTTCGTTTTTTTTAGAAAGAAGACAAAAACAGCAACAAATGGAAGAAGGTAAACTCAAGTTATTTTTCCTTTTATAATACTTTAATTATTTATTAGAGGAGATTGGGAGTTCAGGCTTCCTTGTGCATGCAGAATTTCATTGTTCTTTTTTTTTGTTTGTCTGTTTGTGTTTTTTTTTAGAAAGAAGACAAAAACAGCAACAAATGGAAGAAGGTAAAGTTAATTTTTTTCCTGTTATAATACTTTTAATTCTTTATCAAGGGAGTGCAGAGGTCATGCTTCACTGCATGACTCCATTGTTCAATTTTGTATTGTTTTAGAAAGAAGACAAAAAGAGGAACAAATGGAAGAAGGTCAAGCTCAAGTTATTTCTTTCTCTTATAATACTTTTGATTATTTATGAAGGCTTCCAGTGTACAGGTTAGCAGTGTTTTATTTGTTTTTTGTTTTTTTTTTTCTAGAAAGGAGACAAAAACAGGAACAAATGGAAATAAGTAAACTTTACTTAGTAATTTCTTTTTTTCTTAATACTTTTTGATTGGTTATTGTCGTGAGGTCATGCTTTCTGTGTACATATTTTCATTGTTACATTTCTGTTTGTTGTTTTTTTCAGAGGCAAGAAGACAGGAACGTGAAGAATGTGAAAGAGGTGAACTCAAGTTAATGTCATTTATTTGATTTAACCAGAAAATATAAAGGCTAACTGAACCACATTGTGAACCATATGAACAATGACGGTATGGATAATATATAGCATGTGAATGCTTTGAACAAGGACTTGAATAATGAATAATGAATAATGTGAATCATATAGGCAATATGAGCATTTGTGACTATGGACAAGCTTAGTTTATTCATGTTTATTTTAAGGAGACAGAAATCAATATGGGTTGATAATATTTTCCTTTGTGTCAGGTATAGTCAATCACCACATCTGTTTAGGCCCCACTTTCACAGTGTTGTAGCACCAAACCGAGTCACTCAAAGCACTAATGCTTACATGTACGAGTCCATGAGGGAGTGAAAATGTATTCCATTGTAGAGAGATGGGACTGAATGGCTGTGCTATGAAAAGGAACAAAGGACATAGGCTACTGCGTTAGCTGTGTACACTGCCTCCACGAGTAGGCTAAGTGAATTCAAGCTGCCTACAGAGGCTTTTTTACTTTGTTTGTGGGTCCTGGGGCTACAGTTGGTCATGATCCCCACATATCTAGTTAAAA